GTGGTGCAAATGGTTAACACATTCAGCTGCTAACCAAAAGGGTGGAGGTTCGAGTCCATCCAGAGGCACCTGGTGATCTTCGTCTGGGGGAAAAAACAATAACCAGCCATTGAAAACCCTAGAGCACAGTTCTGCTCTTAAACACTCGAAGTCACCATGAGTCAGAATCAACTTGATGGCAACTGGTTGTTTATTAGCATGGTAACCAAGAAAGGACTGAAATAATCTATGTTGGGGAAATGAGTGAATGACCTCTGGGCCCCCTGCAGTGGGTTACTGGTGGCTGGTGGGGTCTCAGTGGGCCAATTTTTGGAGAAAATTGATGATTCAAGACTCTCTTAAGTATCAGCTGAAGCATGTTATGCTCCAATAACGCGTAGTTGCTTTTAGCTCTGTATAGCCGAGCTATTTTATGCCTTCATACCTTCGTGCTCATTCTGTTTTGTCTTCTTTCCCACTACCACACCCTCCCTGACCTCTATACCCCTCTCCTGGCTAACTCCAGCACGTTTTCAGAACCAGCTCAAGTGCCATATCCCCAAGGAAGCCTTTTTTGATCCCTGGAGTCTGAGTTAGGTGCCCTTACTGTCTCTATACTTCTATCACACCACCCACTGCTTACATTAAAATGAAAGGAATGCATGTCTAGCTCTTCCTGACTGTCCATGTCCTAAGTACAAATATCCTGTTTAATTCACAGGTATCAACTCATGTACCTAGGTGCTCAGTAAACATTTGTGGAACTGAAGAGCTAGATATGAAGTTGTATCACCTTCACCAGGCACTTAACCTCCCTGTTTCTCAGGTTTCTCTTTTGTGAGGTTGAGAGTTGGATGTACTAATCAGATATGCTAATCCTAAACTCTGGAAAGGAGACTTAATCCAATAGCTCACTCAATACCAGTTTCCCTTCCTTTCCTACAGAAACTCTAGGGTTTTTTTTAGCTTTAAAATCTCCAAATTTTGAAAAATAATACAATACCATTATTAATAATGGTAGTAGGATCAGGTTAATGGCACACCATAGAGTTTGAAAGATACATTTTTTTCCTTTTGATATTTATTTTATTGTGCTTTTGATGAAGGTTTACAGAGCAAATTAGTTTCTCGTTAAACAATACACATATTGTTTTGTGACATTGGTTGCCAACCTCACCATGTCAACACTCTCCCCTTCTCAACCTTGGGTTCCCCATTACCAGCTTTCCTGTCCGCTCCTGCCTTCTCGTCCTTGTCCCTGGGCTGGTGTGCCCATTTAGTCTCGTTTTGTTTTATGGGCCTGTCTAATCTTTGGCTGGAGGATGAACCAAGACTGACTTCAGTACTGAGTTAAAAGGGTGTCCGGAGGCCATACTTTCGGGATTTCTCCAGTTTCTGTCAGACCAGTAATGAAAGATACCTATTTTGGAATACATAGGAATTGGTTTTATTTGTTTGGCTGGACATCCATCTGTGGGATAATGAGGTGCCTTTTAAAAGATTTTTAGAAATCTAGCAAGCTTAGTATGATTCTGCTGAGTTAGAAGTGCAGCTCTAAACATTTCTTCTTGTAAAGAATCTGAGTAGAGGCGGAACATGGAAGGATAAAAGACATGCTTGGGCTTAGTCTTGAAGTGTAAACGTTGATCCGGCTGTCTGTAGGGTGACTGAAGGAGGAAATGGCATTCCAAAGAGAGAGAAGGGTAAGATATGGAAGAGTGAGAGGACATGGCACAAGGGTCTGTAAATCGGCCTTGATGGTGGAAGAATAAGCTTGCTGGGAGAAGTAGCCACAGATGGGGTTTTCAGAAGTAGACTGGAAGTGAGATAACTGAGGAACTTATATGCCATAGTTTGGAGTTCAGATTGTATTCTAAGGGGCAGGAAACCATAAGAGTACTTTAACCATGGTCAAAAATGTCAAGTTCACTTTTTAGGAAGTTTATTTTAACAGCAAAGTAGAGAGTGGATTGGAGACTGGAGGCACGAAGGTGATTCCTTCCTTCTTTCTATTCATCCAGCTACCCATCATCCTTCCATCACCCATCCTTCTATTCATCTATCCACCCATCCCCCAAACAAACATTATTGAGTTCTTGGTTCCCACAACAAGCTCTATAATCAGATAGGCCTGCATTTTGAATCCTGTTCTGCCACTTAGCCATCTGTGTGACTTTGGACAAGTACTCAGTCTGTCAATTATATTTTTTCATCTGTAGAAAGATGAACAATAATACCCATTAGTACTTGATAGGTTGGTTGGGAGGAATAAGTGAGATAATACTTAATAAATGCTGGCCCAGTGCCAGGAGCTCATAAACATTCATGACATTTTAGCTATTTTTATTGATATTAACAGGTTGGAGATACCAAGTTTAGAGCTGTTGTACCATCAGGGATTATTGGAGTCATGGGTGTGAAGACCTTCCCTTGGATGGGATTCAGTTCAGCATTTACTGAGCTTGTGCTGTTATGGAGCACTGTGCTAGGCAGTGTGGGAGGTGCCAGGGTGGGAGCCTCCGAGAGTTTGCAGGTCTTAGCTTTAATGCCAGGCAGAAGGTATTAAATGTTCTAGTCAGTTCAGTGGTGATGTCTAGCAAAGCTTGGAGAAGATGGAATGGGTCTGGAAGGATGAACAGCCCTCTAATAAGTAGATATGGAGGGAAAAGGTGAGTTGTCCAAAAGTCTAGGGGTAGAAGACTGAGAATGCATATTAAGAAAATCAGAGAGGATGTGTGGGACTAGAATATGGGAACTCTTTAAGAGAGCATAAGAGGAGATAAAGTATTGGAATATAGATAGGTGTCAAATTGTGCTCATAGAGAACTTTGCATTCCATGTTGAGGATTTTGGACTTTGGGTGCCAATGGGGAGCAGAAAGATAATTTCAGGTTTGTATTTAGAAAGATTTGATTATAGGGAGGGTATGAGTGAATATGGAAGAGGAGAACACTTAGAGGCTATCAGAAGAGTCTAGGCAAAAGGCACTGAGAACTAGCGTAATGAGGATGGAAAGGAAGGATAGTTAAGGAACTTTCAGTGACTCATTTTTTTGTGGGGTGAGATGAAAGACATTGGTTTTCAGCCTGAGAGAGGAGGAAATGACAATGCCATTGAGAATGGGGCAGTAGTGGGAACAAATGAGCTTAAAGAGGATAAGGGATGGTGGGGGATGCGGTGAGAAATTGAAGGGCCCCTTTTGAAAGGAGCATCTTAAGCTTCTCTGCGTCACAGTTATTGGTAGTATTATAAATGAGATTCTAAAGGTAAATTCTGTCTTAGGATGAAGCGAAACATTGGGCCTTTTCTCCATGGAATCCCTAGGTGATGCAAATGGTTAACACGCTTGACTGCTAACTGAAAGGCTGGTGGTTCAAGTCCACCCAGAGGTGCCTGGGAAGAAAGGCCTGGCAATCTACATCTGAAACATCAGCCATTGAAAACTCTATAGAGGACAGTTCTTCTCTGACACACCCAGGGTTGCCATGAGTTGGAATTGACTCAATAGCAACAGGTTTTTTCTCCATGCGTCCTCTGGTCACATTTTTATTCTCTTTCTCTGGTCTCCTTCCCCGCCCCCCCTCAAAAGTTTCCTTTCAAAGCTTACAGCATCACCCCCCACCTCCCCCCCACACACTTCTTTGTCCCCAAACTTGCTGATTTGGGATTTTGTGCTTTGCCCTCCTTCTCTCTGCTGTGGGTACCCATATGCAGGTGGAACGTTTTGCCAAAAGGGGCATGGTTTTCATTGCAAATGGGTTCAGTGGGATAGCTGAGGTTATAGCCGGGTCTTCATGCAAATGACAGCGTTCCCTACCCTACTCTCCCCTCCCTCTGGGAAGGCGGGAATGAAGCTTCTCAAGAGTGCTTCCTAGGGCCCTTAGGAGCCTTAGATCTGAAATGTTCCCTAAGCCTGGCCCTACTGGCTGACTGCTGAATAGGTGGGACCCTTGGGTGTTCATTCCCCCACCCTTGTGCTTTTTGCTTTCCAGTTTCATAATTCCTTTCGTGTAACCCTCTCTTTCCTTCTTAACCTTCTCCTTTTTCCCTCTTTCCTTTCTCCAGTCTCTCAAAGTAAAGCAAACACCTATTAGAATTGAACCACCCTCAGTTTTCCTGTCTATTCTTTCTTCATCTCTTTTCTCTCTCTACTCTATTAAGAACACAAGCTAAAAATCAATTAGTAAATATTTATATAGCTTATAAGCCTTGAAGCAAGTTAATTTGGCACTGTGGGAAGCTTAAAGTGCCGGTTAGAAACGCATTTTTTGGGAAGTGCGTATGGAATGGGAGAATCTCTGCTATGTTCATCTCTACACAGCAGGGGAGGCAGAACTAATATGACTTACAAAGAAATTACCTGGTGTGGGTGAGTTACAAGTCATATGACTCACGATTTGTTTCTAAGCCCTCTGTGGTGAGAGGACACTTAGCTTGTCTCTGACGGTAGGCATTGGTATTCATTTTTAAAGTAGGGATTATGATACTTGTCATTACTATCTTAGTAAAATGTCTTAAGAACCCAGTGAAATAATATGTATGTGAATTTTTTGTAAAGGAGAATTATTGTTATTTTTATGGACAAAAAAGTCCAAAACAAAATGTTGAAACTTTGGACTTGCAGCACCTATAAAATGAGCTGATGGTACTGGGTGATTACTAATGAGTCTTTTAACGCTTACATTCTGTGTGCCCTTAACAGTCCCTCACATATAATAGGGGCTGAAACAATATTTAGATGGATGGACAGACGTGTGGATGGGTCACTATCTAAATGTCTGATTGCCGTACTTCCCCTTTCTTAGTCTGCTGTTTCACGTTGGCACCACTGCCCTCTCCTGGCCAGCAGTGGTATTACAGTGCAGAGAAGTTCATAGATGGGCCCTTTTCTCCCTATTTCTCTCCAGCGCCCTTGCCCAGGCTCCCAGAGCTGGCTCCCTTGGCCCAGCCTCCAATCACTGACTGCCTGTCTTTCCTCTTCCCCTCTCCACCTCATTCCCTCTCTCCATCTGCCCCTGCAGCACTGCCAGTAATTCAAACCGCAGCACGCCGGCCTGCTCCCCCATCCTCCGGAAGCGGTCTCACTCACCAACCCCACAGAACCCAGACGGAGACACCATGGTGGAGAAGGGCTCAGATCACTCCTCAGACAAGTCCCCATCCACACCCGAACAGGGTGTGCAGCGCAGCTGCTCCTCACAGTCTGGCCGAAGCAGTGGCAAGAATTCTAAGGTGAGGCAGGGCCCACGGAGGCTTCTATCCCATTGTTAGCTGCTGCAGAGAGGCTGCTACTGGGGGAGGGTGAGGTGGGGAACACCTTCCTCCAGGGCTTTACACAAGAACAGCCTGAGTTTTCCGAGAGACAGTCTTTATTTATTGAGGGGAGGGTGGGCAGTCCGGGGAGACCCTAGTTAAATGCCTTCTCAGCTAAGCACTCAGAGAAAGGCCCATGGGCTCGAAAAAGATTCCACTTGCATGCCCTTAGAAGCAGCTTGTCTCTCTTTAGGAGCAACGGAGGAGGAGGGCTGCTCTGGGGATCAGGAGAGGTCATCTGTTTATCCCTGCTGCTGTTTTTAAATTTAGTCCCTGGGGCTGGGATAGAAGGGAACATTACTTGGGATAATTATCCTGCCAGGAAGAGGGTCCCCAAGGAACTTTGCATAATGCCATTTTTAACGTTCTTCCTATCCATCACCCTGCCTTACTTTGGTACTAATTTACTCGGTACCCACCTGGCAGAGAGGACAGGGGCAGGGCCTCTTTACCCCTCCCAAGGATGTCACCATTGCCACCTTCGCACAGGGCCTTTGGCCTGAGGATACACACAGAAGAAGCCCCAATGGTGGGGAGAGGTGAGGAAGCCCTGGCTAGTCGTGGTTCCTCAGCCATGTTCTTCTGCCCTCAATCCTCTGGCGAGAGAAGATGTCTTTGCCTAGATGCTCCTTCGAGAAGCTTCTGTTCTTCCCCAGACTCCCAGGCCCCGGGAAGGATGTGGGGACCCTGGGAGGCATGGGAGCTGGCTTCCACTTGAATCTGTCTTTTGATTTCTTGTTCTTCCTCTTCTTCCCCACCATTTTCCCAAATACCTTCTTTGCATGCATGGTCTTAGTCTCACAAGCGCCTCTCAAAAGTAAGCCATCTTTTGTCTCTGTCTTGTTATCTGCCCTCTAGTGTTGACTTGTCTGTAGTGCTCAGCACCCCCTCCCCTCCACCCCCTCCCAGTTCTGGCCCATATGTCTTGCTTTGCCCCTTTCCCAGAAGGGCTGGCCCCACTGCCCCACTGGCCGTTTGGTGCGAAGCCATGAGGGACCATTCCTACTGTACCCGAAGTCGGAGAACAGACTTGTCCTGCCCTCCCTCCCGTGGTATCTTTGCCTGCTCCCCAACACTGCCTCTGGCTAGGGATTATGCCTTTTTTTTTTTTTTTTTAAATTATTCCCTCTTTACATGGTGCTATCTAGAAGCAGAGTCCTGCCAGGATTAGTTTCATTCCTTTGGAGGAAGGAAGGCCCCATCGGGTCATACTGCAGGTCCTCACATTCCCCTTGGGGGGTGAGTCCTGAGTCCCCAGAAGTAGTGATTGGAATTGGCAGGAAGGACGAGTTGATGGAGGGTCACGAGTTCTAATAGGTGACTTGATCAGTAGCAGGGACCTCAGGAGCTCGCCCTGGCATGCTCTTCCAGCCACCCTCTTGGAGTCGCTCAGCTTGAGTGCCCCCTGACTGTTGCCACCCACCGCCCAGCCCGGGGAGCCACAGTGTTCTTAGGATCTTGGATCGTGATCAGAGCATGGGGCATTTCTACCAGAGGGCATGAGGCCAGCACCTGGCAGTTGGTGACTGTTGATAATCGTCCCCACCAGGCCCTGGAGAGATGTGGCCACGTCTGAGAGGCAGAGCCAGAGTCAGCTGGGGGCCCCATGATTTCAGAGGAGAATTTGGAACGAGTGGAGGGAGGGTGAGCAATCAGTATTTTAGAAGGGGAGGACTCAGGAAATGATGCCCACGAGGAAAGGGGGTGGGATGTAGCCTGAAGAAGAGAAAGCTGAGGGATGACTTAATAATAGTCTCAAGTCTCTGAGAGCATTTCGGGGAGGAGGAGGAGGGTGAACAGCTGTTCTGTTTCCTGAGGCAAGAACAAGAGGCTACACAGTTGATCCTGCAGTCTGTGACCTTCAGGCTAGAAATACATCTTGGCTCTGAGGATTTGGGATGACTGTGTTGGGCTATGGACAGGGGAGGTTGAAACCTCTGCCTGGAGTGGGGAATCCAGTGGAGTTCTCTGTGTGATCAGGTGGCTGGGGTGCAGGCATGTCTGGGGACAGGGGTTTTGAGGTGACCACTGCCAGCCTCCCCTGACTCCTTCAAACCTCTGGCTTGGCTGATACAGGGACTAGGAGGCATATACTGCCTGTCTTGGGATCATGTTATTCCTTCTCTCAGCTTCTGCTCAGGGTGTCTGCATACTTTTCCATCCTAAGGTGAAATTCTAAGCTTCCTTATTCTCTTACCCCTATGCCTAGCAAGGTACCCCCATCAGTTTTCAGTGAGAAGAATGATATTTATGGTCATTCATCACCACCTGTTTTGGTCAGGTGATGGGTGGAGGTGAGTACCCAGTAATGAGGTTTTTTAAAAACCTTAAATGGCAGATCTTCAGGGGACAGGAGTCCCTACCCCAAGGCAGTCTAGGAAGGGGGACAAAGAAGGGGCCCAGATGACCTACAAATCAAATCCATCTTTTAGCACCACATGGGAGGTTTGGACTGCTGCATGAATTCAGAGGCAGGAGAAATCATTTCTGAGTCAGATTGCCGGGAAGCGTTTCAGGGAGCAGGTGGCACTGAGCCAGGCAGGAACTCTGAGTGGGATTTTTGAGAGGCAAAAATGAAGATTATGAAGGGGCTGGAGCTAAGCGTGGATAGGGAGCAAATCTGGGCCCCATTGTCTCCATCAGTCGTTACCAACACCGCCACCCTCTAAATGCAGGGAACACAGGAGCAACTTACTGGGGTGCAGGGACTGTGCCATCACAGGTGGGATTAGTGGCAGCTGTGGTGGGTCTGGGAAATGAATGTGCAGGACACTCAGACTTCAGAAGAACAACACGTGAGCAGTCTAGGAATTAGGGTCTGTGCAGGTCAGGACCTGGGGCAGAGCATGAGGGGAAGGAAGCTGCAGCGGTGAGGGGAAGCAAGGAGGAGGGTCTGCTAGTGTGATGCGGATACCACCCCGCCACAAGTGGAGTGTTTTCTCAGGTCTACCAGATGTGACAGGGGCTCTAATAGCCAAAGCTGTTATCTTAGCCGGCCATCACTCCCTGTCTCCTGCCCACCACCTAGAGGAGGTATTCCCAGATATTTTTCAGGGAACAGGGGGAGTGCCTTCACTTCTCCCTGGCAGAACCCTAGAGTCGGGCCCAGGGCACCGTGTCTGCTTCCCTTTTCTTGGCATCTGGTCCTCATTTGCTAATATGTAGGAGTGGGACTAAGTAATCACTGAGGCCCTACCCCTGTGAACCTGCAGCTTTACTGCCAAGCCTGACCTCTGCTAGGTTCAGCCCTGCTCAGAGGAGGGGACCAGAAGCTTCAAGTCTTTTTCCACCAATCCCAGGACACCTTGAGTTTTTGCCACCAGCCAGTTTCTGCTCTGTAGTGGTGGCTGCGGGCCACTAGAGGGAGCCTGCGACTTGCTTTCCGGCTCCCATCAGCTCCTGAAATGGGGCTTGTTCCTCCAGGCCCCCAGCAATGTGAACCCAGTGGGTGCGTGACATCACCCCTGGCTCTGAGGCCCTGACAGCCCTCTTCCCCTTTGTTTGACTTTTTTCCTTTTTTCAATTCTAATTTTTGTGATTTTCTTCCAGTATGACAGACTTAACCTGATCAAAGTAAGAAGTTTCTTTTCCGACTCCTACTAAACTTAGAGCTGCTGTAGTCCCCACCCCCTCTCCTCCACCCTCACCCTGTCTCCCAGACTCCTTGAGCCTTTGTACTGGAGAGATCGTTTTAGATTTGGGGTGGGGGTAGGGGGCAGGAAACCACCACAAGGAAACTTGGGTCTGTTTCCGGAGCCTGGCATTCCTTTAGGTGCTTGCTCTTCAAACTTCATCTAGGAAAGGTGATAGAAATGTCCTCCTCTCAATTCCCCGCCCCCAGCAGCTCTATCTTTTGGGTAGTTTTCCTGACTCCCTCCTCCCTGTTCAGCCAAATCCATTGATAACCTGTCAGAATACCCATCACCCCTACTCCCTGGCTCTGCTTGTTCCTTCCCTCTGGCCCTCTCCACAAGGTCAGGGTGTGCCACTAACTTACAGGGGCAGGCAGCTTCACTCTCGTGCCAGTGGAGGCCTCTCCTCTCACCCTCAGCGGCCAGCAGCCCCCTGACTTTCCTGCCAACCATGAGACCGGGCTCTCCCTGCCCAGCCCCTCTGTAGGACTCAGTCCCAGGAAAGCAGTGCCACTAAGAGGCTGGTCAGAGTTCAGGGTCTCCTGCCCCTAGTAGGCATTCTCAGAGGATGCAGATGGCTGGGGCCGTTTTTCCTGGTGGTGTCAAGAAGTTGCCCAGAGATAGCTGGTTAGGGGTAGAGCCTGAAGCTGACGGACAAGTCAAAAGTCCTCGCTCTGGAATAGTATGTTTCACATTTCTTTTCAGCACTTTTGAGCACACATTCTTATTCCGCTTTACGAGCAAATACTGTCTACAAAGTTATCACACAGCTAGTTAGAGACAGGACAAGGATTCCCTGGTTGAAGCTCGCTCTTTGTCACCCTGAAGCTCTTTGTCTCAAACAGATTTGAAGGGACAAGCGTCCATGTGCCAGTGTGTGAACAGGGAAAATGGCCTTCCATTTGCCTGAGGGCAGTGGGAGAGCCCTCTGAGGAATGCTCATAAAGGATTCCAGATCTCCCCACCTAGGCCAGGTGCTTGCTACCTTTCTCCTCCTTGAGTCTTACATGGAGGCTAGGCCAGTGGGATGAGATGCTGAAGAGTGCATAGCAGAGAGTTGTCTCAGCTGTGAAGCAGCTTTGATTTGACAGAGTGCCGGGAAAATGTGGGGCAGTCGAGGCTGGCAGCACCTAGAGCTCATCCTTTCCACCGTAGGGAGATGTAGTTTAACGACTGTCAGCACAGCCTCCTGCCCTATGACATCAGTTGTGCATGGAGCCAAGGCTTCTGTGTGAGGGCCCATGAGGTAAGAGGCCCCACAGTGCAGACCAAACCAAGTCAATGCTGTCTATGTGTTCCATCCTCCCTCTTCCAGAGGAGGGTAAGCATTAGCCGAGAAGCCATAGAGGCTGATTTGCAGTTCCAGGTTCAGGATCGTCATGTGGCTATAGCTCCCTCGATGATGAAAAAGTTGGTTTTGAATATTGGGATTTGGCCCTTTTCCTGCTAAGAACTTCCAGATTGGAGGAGAGGCTGAGGCTGTGATGGGACTGTGTGACTTCCAGTGGGCCATGGTGACAGCCTCTGTTGGGAAATGACCATGGAGAAAGTCTTGCAGAAGGGATTGGGAGCCCAGCTGGCATCTGCCCCAGTGCTGTATTCTGGCCATTGAGGTCAGTTAGCAGCTGAGTGCTTTAACCACTGCACCACCAGGGCTTCTTAGGGGATAGGGTTGCTAATCCTCCCTAGGAGCCACACCTCTGGGTGTAGACCTATGCTGTTGACTGCAGGCAGAGCTTCCCTCTATCCAGTGATTCTCCACCTTAATTACACGCTTGGCAAGCTTTTTAAAAGTGAAAATACCACAGCCCCAATCTAAACCTATTGGAGCTGCACCTCATGGCAAGTGTGTGTGTGTGTGTGTGTGTGTCTGTCTGCCAAGTGGAATATGCACTAATGGACTCCTAGCCATAGGGATTGGAGACAGACAAGGCACAATCTTAGTCATTTCTTCCCTTTCACTAAGAAACTTCCAGTTACCATGAAGATGAGTTGCCTGTGCCCAGAGCTGGAATGGAGAATGCCTGACCTCTGGAGCTGGGGTGGACTCTGGTTTCTCTGATATTGAATGAGGGCATCACAGAGTTGGGAAGGACCTTTACAGATTATCTGCTTCAACCTCACTCTCCATGCAGAGCCCCAAACCGCTGTCCCACCATTATCACTTAGAAGGTCAGCCAGCTGTTGGGATAGAAGATGGAGTTTACTCCTCTGCTCGCTTGCTGAGAGCAAATTCAGAGATGTTTTTAGGTAGCCTCTTTTCTTCCCCTCCCACTGAAGTGTCCCACCCTGCCTTCTACTGGGGAGGCTGACTTGGAGCAGAAGGCTGGGATGGTCTCTCCCTGTACTTTGCTTCTGGTCAGCGCCCATTTTGGGACTGGGTTTTGGATGCCGACAGTGCATCCCTCACCCCCGTCAGAAGAACCTTGTGATGGGACTCCGACTCCTTTCCGGCTGAGCTATAGCTAGTGCTGCCACTGCCTGCCGCCCCAACTGCGGTGGGGCTTCCAGCATGGATTGCTCCTGGGCCTCCTTTCTGGAGCTGTCTTGAGAAAGGAGGACCCCTCCTGAGCAGCAACCTGGGAAGCATTCAGCTGCATTTGGGCCCCTCCTCCCCACCTGCCCTCTGCTGTCTGTATAACCTTCCCACTGGGCTGGGGATGCCCTGGCCATTCCCACCACCTCTTCCCTGACTAATTTTACCTTCTCTTGTTTTGTCCTTTCAGAAAAGCCAGAGTTGGTATAATGTAAGTATTCCTGTTTCTCTTCTTGTTGGGTACGTGTGACCTGGGTGGGGGAGTGGCAGTGGGCAGGGGAATGGAATGCTGTGGAGGGCAACTTGGCTTCCGTGTGGCTTGAGCAAATTGAGGGGGCAAGGAAGACGGGCTTTCCTCCTTTCCAGCCCTCCCCCAAAGCCAGATAAAATGATTCTCTTCTGTAGCAGCCCAGGAGAGGAATGATTTCATTCAAGGAGACCTGGGAAGGACAGCCCAGCTCATCCCCACCTCACCTCAGCTCTTCCAGTCCTAAAGGAGACCAGCCAGGGAGGTGTAGGTGTCCCAAGTCCAGACAGAATTCTGGGACTTGGGCGGCCCTGGGGCCTGAACCTAACGCCAAAGCTTGCTTCCCTTGACCTAGACATTTTGGTGGAAATGCAACTGGAAGACTTTCCCCCGTTAGTAAAGAGGCTGTGCCATTTAATGGGATCTGACTTCTGCCCCACAGTACCCTTCAGTATCCCCAAGGGCACGCTCCCTGTAGAAAACATCCACTGCTCCTGGGTCTGTGAGGAAAAGGGGACCATTTCATAGGTTATCCATGGGCTGCTGCTTCTGCCAGCTGCTCCATACGCAGAAACCGCATGTGGAATGAGCAGTCCCTGTAAAGGCCACATTCTTTCAGTCATACACACATTCCCATGAAGTTCCTCAGACGGCCCCCTGCCACATGGTACTCCACCCTCTGTACAGTTGAGAGACCAGGGGTTTGGCAACCATGGCCTGGCCTCAGATGGTCTTCTCGCCTTCTCTGAGCCTGCCATTCTCAGCACTTGATTCTGATTGATTCCGTGAATACCGCCCCCGCCCCCTTCACAACACACACACACACCAGGGTTCTACTTCAGGAGGAGACGTGGACACGGGGACGGTGTAGAAGAAGCTAGCTTTGATAACAGATGTTGAGGAGGACACTGGTTAAAGGGAGGGAGGGCAGGGGCAGGGGATAGGGCTGGGTTTAATGTAGGGGCTTAGATCAGAAATCCCTGTGTGTGTGTTTTCCTCATGGTCCCAGTGAGTCCCCAAAGTCAGGCACATATTGTTTAGCTGGGTGGCTTTGGACTTCCAGCTGCTTTGTGGCCTGACTGTCCTCCATGCTGTGAATTGATTTGCAGCCTCAGCCCCACCCAGCACCAAAAGAGGCAAACGTTGGTGGGCTGTGCTGACAGGAGGGTTGTTGAGAGCTGAGGTGGTTTGGGGTGGAAGAGAAACAATAGCTTTCACTCCCTCCTCCCCTGCTCACTCCCACCCCATCGCTCCTCACACTGCTTAGAGTCCAGATCTCTCGTCTGTAAGCTCCTTGTAGTGGAAGGAGAAGAGGGAGCGGGTGGTCTGCTTTCCTGGAAGCTGCCCCAGGCCAAGCTGTTCTGGGGGGCGTCCAGCAATCTTTTCCACTCCTCTACCCACCCTTTTGATCAGTATTGTGAAAACTGAGTGGCTGCAAAGGGGAACAGAAAGCCCTTGGTCACAGACTTCCTAGTCAGTTAAAATACCCACATTTGGACCTGCACATGCTCTTCCTTCTTTCTAATCTCTTTCCACTTCCTCTCGTCTTTCTGCCTATATCTGTCCTTTGCTCTTTAGAACAGGCTTTTCTGCTTTGCCTCACTTTTCCCTTTCTTGTTGTCTTCCCTACCCTTTGCTCTCAGATTTCCCCTTTTTATTCTTTTCTCTCCCTCCATTTTTCCTCTCCTTTCTCTGATTTCCATTCTCCTGACTGGCTTTTTCTTTTCTCTTTCTCTCTAATCCTCTTCCTTTTTTTCCCTTTCCTTTCCTCTCTCCCTCAACCTTTTCATATCTAATTTCTCCTCCCTCAGCCCCAAGTATATGTGGAACACCCAGCATAGGGGCAGATTAGAAATGCATCTGCTTCCTGGCTGAGGGAGGGTGATGGGCCAGCTGCCAGATGGGACCCAGAAGGGAGGGGTCATGGCTAGCAGACACTGCGTGTGAGACAGTAGAGGACTGGGCCTGACCCGAGTCCTGGTTCCCTGTGGTTCCACCTGCAGCTGGAGATAATGGTCAAGCTATCAGAGCTCATTTAGTTTTCAAATCACCTTATATGTAATCATCTTCCAGAATACGCTCCCAGGTCTTTCCTGCCTCTTGCCCTCTCCTTTTCTAGGTTATCTGTTTTCACCTTCCACTCCTTTCTTGGCAGTTCGAATCCACCAGCCGCTCCTTGGAAACCCTATGGGGCAGTTCTACTCTGTCCTATAGGGTCGCTATGAGTCGAAGCTGACTCAACACAATTGGCTTGGTTTTGGTTTTCCCTCTCCTGGACTCACTCTCACACTGGGTTCTCCCAGAAGCTTGGTGGTGATAGGTATCGTGGGGCCATCAACAATCGTGCCCCTGCTGCTCTCTCCTCGTCTCCTTCTTGGTCTCTGGGGCGGTCGGTTGCTGGGCAGCCCTTACTTGGCCTGCTGATGTGGCCTCTTGTGTCTGACCTCCACTGCCTGAGCCCTGCTCTTCTCAGGGTTGGAGTGGGGAATAGAGCAGAATGACCATGGAGGTGGGAGATGAAGATGGCAGCTGGACATTGAAGGGAGAGGCAGAAGCTGAGCACACTGGGATGCTGGGAGGTGGCGAGGCCCCTGGGCAGTAGGAGGCATTCAACTGGTGGGCTGTCTGAGCATAGAGCAAGACACAAAGCAGGCCTGAGACCTGCCCCCCACTCCCCAGCACTGCCCCTTCCCCACTGGCCCATTGGTGTTCTTGCAGGAGGACCTTGCTCTATCCGTTGCTTTGAGCTGGTTTTCTGTGTTTCCCTTAGCCTACTTCACGCTCAGACTTTACATCTGTGTTGGTTGGGATCTGACCTTCAGGAAGGATACCCTGTCTCCACTTCTCAGCTCTGCTGATGGCCCTTTTTATAAAATCTCATGATGCTAGTGTAAGCTTTCCAACTTTTCTGATGGCCTAAGGCTTCTTCATTGCACTAGAAGTCCTTTAGATAGGCTAAGGTTTTGTAATCCTTCACCTTAGGGACAGTTAGAAAACTTCTGGTCAGATTCGGAATAGGAAGGTCATTGCTCTGTAGAGGTGCTGAAGGGGCACGAGCACCTCAGGCCCATTGAAGAGGAGTGGGAGGGAACCAGAGTCTAATATGAAAGGAGGCCCACCCCTCCCACCCTCTTCCTTCACTGCCTCTCTTCTGCTAAAGACGAAAACTGTTTTATTTAGCCAGGTAAGACCTGGGAGGGTCCTCACCATGATGACAAACTGCCTTACTCTAAAGAGTGGGCCATACAAAGGGTGGTGGCTGGGCCCCAGGGACACAGGGAAAGGCTGAGGTGTGAGAGTTCTGGTTTCTAATGAGGGATATTCAGGTAAAGAGTGGGGTTAAAAGACCGTTCCAGCTACAACTGCCCTGAGCTCCTTCCAGGGCCATTTATACTCCTTATCCTGGCCCCTTACCCCCACCCTTAGTACCTAGTTTAATTAATCAAGGCCCCAGCTTGGGAGTTGCATCCCCAGTGGACATGAGATGGAGGGGTAAGCAGAACCAGGGCTTTGACTTCAACAGGGAGCCAAGGGGAGAGTTGAAGACGGCTTAGCCGAGGCCCTCGGGTGGAGGGGTATAATCCATGTCCCTCTGAAGATGGCTCCTACTTGGAGTGTGGCAAACTTACATCTTGGGTGAAGCACATGGTCAGAGAAGTCTCATCCCTGGAGTCTCAGGGTGGGCCAGTGTATTCTTCTCATCTGCCCCAAACCTCTTTCCTGCTGGTCAGTTGTCTCCATGGCAACCCAGGGAAGGAGCATTACTGAGCTCAGATGACAATAGCCCAGCCCCCGACAGCCCCACATCCCCAAGACCCCCAAGTTGGGGATGCCAATTTTATGGCGGGGAGGGTGGGATTGTGCCGGTCCTGTGGAATGGCCCAGGAGGTCTGACTGGCATAAGTTTCAGAGCAAGAGAACAAAGCTTTGTAGGAATGGGTGCAGGGGGAGGGTGGGCAGTGACGAAATTATTGGTACGGAAAGGGAAGCTGCTGATGATAGCCTTGGCAGACTGGCATCTTGTTCTGGGAATTAACTCTGCTTTCTCCACCACTGTCCCTCTCACCTCTGGTATTTACCCATTACCCTGAACGGCCTTCCTGCCCCTGCCCCCACGCATGCCCCTCCGTAACTTCCTTCAGAATTATCCTGTTTCCCCTGAGGGGACCCCACTCCCTTCTCTCCCTTTCTGCATTACATCCAGCCCACCACCAATCTCTCCCCTTTCTCTGCTCAGTCACCTCCCCCTCTCTCCTCTGTCCCCTTGTCCACATCTGGCTTCTCCCTACCTGGACTTGGTTAGGTTTCCTTTGAGGGTCTTATTGGTTTCTTCCTAGATGAGGTCACCGCTCCACCAAAACCCATCTGTTGTTCTCCCAAGCTCCTCTGCCCCTGCCCTCCCTCCTGCTGTGCGCTGCGAGGGAGTACCACTTGGTCCCAGCTCCTTCTGTTTGCCGTAGGGTTAACGTTTAGCCCAGGGCCAATTCCCTCTCTCCAGACTCCCACCTGCCCTGCCCAACCCTTTGTGAGGAGGCAGAGTTGACAAAGGCTTATGCATACTGAAACTCATCTCGCAGGCAGTTATCTCTTTGGGTATATCCTGCGCCTAGCATACCCCATCTCAGCCCTAACAGTCACCACCAGCTCATATGGCCTGTAGTAATTCACATGTGTTTCTGGGGAATGACTGTAAGGGGTCTGGCACCTCTACTAACTTCTCCCACCTAGATCCTGGGGTCTGATGTGGCCAGGAGAGAGGCATTGTGGTCACCCTAAGAAACAGCTTCTGTGCTCTCCTGTCACACTGCTTGGGACAGGGCTGGCACAGGCAGGGTGGGGAGAAGCTCGGATTTGTGCTGGAGAGAGTGTTGGCAGGGACTGGGATTCTGAGGACCTGTGTATATAGAATTAGGATCTGTGTGTATGTGCACATATAAGATGCAGTGTAAACAGAAACAATTCTA